GACCGACTGTGACTCCTACAGCATGAACCCACCTCAGCCACACACTATCAGGTTTCTAGACAGAGTGGGGTGAGCGATTGGTGCTGATCTTCGGAATTTCTCTTTTCAAAATGCAACGATGATAGATCTAGCTTTGTGTGCCAATGGATATATATCTGTGAAAGTCAGGATCATCCCAGCCAGTTGTGGGTGCCACCATTTTATATACTCCCTCCCTCCCTCTCTCTTTTTAAAATTAGCCTTCCTTGCCTCCAAAATGCTCAAGTTGGTGTACATGGCTGCCCTTCTCAGCTGCAACTGCACACAGACCTGTGATGTTAGCCAGCCTGCAAGTGTGACCGGCCCATGCTCACTTCCATCCCTCCCTCTCTCTGTTTAAAATTACCCTTCCTTGCCTCCAAAATGCTCAAGTTGGTGTACATGGCTGTCCTTCTCAGCTGTAACTGCACACAGACCTTTGATGTTAGCCAGCCTGCAAGTGTGACCGGCCCATGCTCACTCAGTCTGTTTCAAAGTCCCACAGGATTTGAACCCAGGTCTCCTAAATCCCAGCCAATACATCACACTTGCTATCTCACTAGAGAAAGCCCAGATTCCTGCTTTTGGGATTTCTATCTGCTGAGTTGGTTTTTTAGAGTAAAGATGAAAAAGTTTGATAATGGATCTGTTTCATCGAGATATGTAGAGTGGAGAAAGTTGGTTTCTTGGACAATTTTACAGACAAGCTGGGCAGGTTCTGGGGGGGGTGCAGTAAAAAAAGGAGGAATTTCTCCAACCTCCATATAAGGACCTTTTTTATTGCTTTCTTGGACAATTTTACAGACACGCTGGACAGGTTCTGGGGGGGGGGGGGCAGTAAAAAAAGGAGGAATTTCTCCAACCTCCATATAAGGACCTTTTTACATGATCAGCCTGGCTCCCAGTGGTTTGCCAGACCAATAAATAACAGCACCCCAGAGAAGAAGCACAAACTGAATGGAATGAACAAAATGCTTTACCATTCACTAATCTGTTTCAACCAACTGCTAACAAGATTCTCCAAATCAAAATACTGTACAGTGATGACAGCTAGGAATGGGAGGGTTTTTTTTTTGTATTTTATTTCTTGGACTACAAATCCCATAATTCTCCATTGTGGGAGTTCTACGTCTCACACACACTTTTGCATAGCCGACATGGGGCTCCTTTGGAAGTAAAGCTTCAGGTGGAAAAGTTTGAGGGTTAGCTTCCCCCAGGTCTACCCAGGCTTCCTGATCCTGCCCCCGGGAGCTTTCTTTATGAACAAGAAGCTAGGTGGAAATCTGAAAATCTCGTTTCTCGTGACAGCTGTTCTCCTCCTCGTTGTTCTAGGCATTTTTATGCCGAAGGAAGATGGCCTCTGTATGCATTGCCACGAATCATCATCATTAAATCAAACCATCAAGTCCTTTTCTTCTGCCACCACTTGGTCTCCTCTGTCGGAGTTGAAGCACTGGAAATGCCTCTTAAGAAATGATGGGACAGAAAAAAGCCAGCTCTCTGTTCTTTCGGTGCGCTTTCCGACTTCGTATTACAGGGTGCAGGCAGCCCTCAAGGCAGAAAGATTGATTGATCTCAGGACAGAATTAAAATAGAGCAGTAAAGCAAAAGCATATTGGTATTTTTGATCTCCAAGCAGAAAATGTTAAAAGCCAGGCAGAATATAAATGCTTTTTGTCGCTTATATAAAATCACCATGTTGCATAGCTGGGGTGCTGTGACAAGACACAATCTTGTTCCATGTACCCACCAGCTGAAGCTCTTCAGGTTATGAGCCATACAAGAAGGCTTCTGATGTCAATCACTACCCATTGCACAGGTTCATATGGATTGCAGATTTATGGGTGACGTTGTATTGGGTGGGAAACCGTGCTGCCTAAGACACATTTATACACTGTTTCATGAGTTGCCATATCACCAGCTTAAAGACAAAGGTTCCCCTTGACATTTAGTCCAGTCGTGTCCGACTCTAGGGGGTGGTGCTCATCCCCGTTTCCAAGCCGTAGAGCCAACGTTTGTCCGTAGACCATTTCCGTGGCCACGTGGCCAGTGTGACTAGACACAAAATGCCATTACTTTCCCACCAAGGTGGTACCTATTTATCTACTTGCATTTTTGCATGCTTTCGAACAGCTAGGTTGGCAGGGGCTGGGACAAGTGACGGGAGCTCCCTCCATCGCGTGGATTCAATCTTAGATGGCTGGTCTTCTGACTTTGTAGCACAGAGGCTTCTGAAGTTTAACCTGCAGCACCATCATGTCTCTATCAGCAGCTTAGTGGGAGCCAAAAGCAACTCCTTCTCCTCCCTCTGCCCCTCCTCCCCTTCCTCCTCCTCCTCCTCCTCCTCTTCTTCTTCTGGCACACGGCCAGAATTTAGTCTACTTTTTTGGGGGGAATACAACTCCCAAAGGTTTCTGAGCATAGTCATTGGGCAAAGTATGTTCCCCCCTCCCAGTTTTGAATCAGGTCATGGAGAGAGAGAGAGAGAGAGAGAGAGAGAGAGAGAGGGCAAAAGTGCTTTGCGGAGAAGATTCCCCACCCAGCAAATACCTGATCGGTGTCCATGCAGTCCGATAAAGGTGCCTTCTAGGGGGAAGGAAGACTTCTAGTCTCACAGCACCCTTGGCGTTCCTCTGGAAGGAGATGAGGAAATTGATCTCTTGTGCCTGGGTTGAAAAAGAAAACACAGTGATTGTCCACGTGAAATTGACGTTGACCAGACTGAGTGATCTGAACCCGTGTTCCCCACCTGATACCTTGGACGAGTTAAGGGGTCTTGATAACATCTCCAGAATCGTCACATTCCAGGGACTGTAGGACTTTCCAAACTTTTAACTCAAAGCTCTCTTTCTGGCCATGAAGATGCCAAAAATTCAACGCTACCTCTTCTGCACCAGGATTGGGGACCTAGGATTATGGTCTTCAGATTACATGTCAGGGATGATGGATGGGACCTGGAGTTCAATGTCATCTGGAGGAAAAATTGTTCCCTACCACGATTGGCTCAGAGAAAAAAGTGCTCTGCCGCTGATTCTGAGCTGTGAACTATGCGCTAGAACAGTGGTTCTTAACCTTTGTTACTCGGATGCTTTTGAACTGCAACTCCCAGAAACCCCAGACAGGACAGCTGGTGGTGAAGGCTTCTGGGAGTTGCAGTCCAAAACTCCTGAGTAACCCAAGGTTAAGAGGGGGGATTGCTTTTTTTCTCCTCACTACAAGATTTCTCTTTCCCAGGACTTTTTGCATTGGGAAACCTTTCCAGCAATCTTGCAAGATTTCTCAGAAGTTTTATGGGTTTTATTTTTCTTTTCTCTGAAAGAAATGCCATGCTGCACAGGCTGATTACCGTCTCTCTAGAGAAGGGATTTCCTGCACAGGATTCTCCTGGAAAAAGCAGAAGAAGCTATGCAGGATTGTTATGATTCCTGAGCAGAATGCCATCTCTTCTGTGCAGGATTCACCTGGAAATGGCATGGGCACTGAATAATTGGACAAGTTTGCATATAGAAAAAAAAGGCTGACAAATGAAATGAAAGTGAAAGACTAGGGTCTTATTTTCCCGGAAAGTTGTGAAATTTCACTGATGCCGAAGAAAGTCTTGGCAGGGAATCTCGGAATGGCAAGACCTCAAAAATGGCAATGAATGCTAAATTTTATAATTACCTGTCCCATCCTAACAGAACAAATGTCACTTGTATTTGAGCTCCAGTGAATTAGTGGGATGTGTAATGAACTAGCTCAGTGCCAAATACCCCGTCAATTTTATTGGTCTTATATGCAACTAAGGTTGCAGCCACACTAGCCATAAGAATCACATTTCAGCATCATTTAAACCAATTTAGATTTTATCATTCACACAGTGCACAAGTGAAATCGATTTATACAGGCTGCAAAGTGAGTTTTGTTTTTTCTTTTCAAGTGGCCAGCAGGAGCTTTTTAAGATACTATGCTTCTAAAACCGATTCGATTCAATGTGGCTTTGTGGAAATGAACCAGTTTCAGCGGTACAGAGGCCAAAACTGCTTTAAATCACCGGAAATAAATCGATTTCCATTCAGTGCATGTGAACGCGGCCACCGGTTTAAATACCACGTGACTTGAACCTGTTTTTTAAAAAGTCTGAACTGAAATGGTTTCAAATCGTCCGTGTGACCCAGGCTGGTCCCAGCTGTTTGCAGATGGGGATCAAAAGGACCAGGGGACAAATAAGAAGGTCACCGTCTCAGAAATATGGTCTGTTTTGTTTTCGAAATGCGTCTTTGTCCATGTTAAGCTGGTTTTTGAAGTCTGCAAAGCCAGGTGTTGTTTATTCCCAGTTAAAGCCCCTCTAACAATGTTTTGTCTTGCGAGCCAGAAAAGTGTCAAGCTAGCATGGGGTGAAGGAGCAGGAAGGAATGCTGGACAGTAGCGACCGCCAGACCTCCAACCCAAGGTTGCTAATTATAGCATATGTCTTGCGAGAGCTGTAAATAAAGGCAGCCGGAGAGTTACAATAGGAGCCAAGTTATGATATCATGTTGTTCCAACATGAAAGAGAAAATGTTTTCCTCGGGGCGGTCTGGGCTAAAATAAGCAACTTATTTTCTTCCTTTCTGGAACTAGCTTTCTCACGAGGATTACAGAGGGAAACTTGGCCGGGTTTTGTAAACCCCTGAATATGAGGATTACAGGGAGGAGGAGGGGTGCGCTGGCAAGCCTCCACAGATCCGGAAGAAGCTTCCCCAATGTCCGCTTCCAGGCAGGACAGTCCAGTGAAGATGCTAATCTCTCATCTGGAACCAAGAATTATAGACATTTCACCCACATGTCCTGGACATCTCTGGCCACAGTCCCAGAGACAGGTGCTTCCACTGGCTAAATATTCCTGTATTCTCAGGAGAAAATATATACGTATTTCACAAGTTCTCATTGTTTAGTCATTAAGTTGTGTCCAAGTCTTCATGACCCCATGGACCAGAGCACGCCAGGCCCTCCTGTCTTCCACTGCCTCCTGGAGTTGGGTCAAATTCATGTTGGTTGCTTTGGTGACCCTGTCCAGCCATCTCATCCTCTGTTGGTCCCTTCTCTTCTTGCCTTCACACTTTCCCAACATCAGGGTTTTTTTCCAGGGAGTCTTCTCTTCTCATGACATGGCCAAAGTGTTGGAGCCTCAGCTTCAGGATCTGTCCTTCCAGTGAGCACTCACGGTTGATTTCCTTCAAAATGGATAGGTTTGTTCTCCTTGCAGTCCAGGGGACTCTCAAGACTCTCCTCCAGCACCACAATTCAAAAGCATCATTTCATCGGTGGTCTGCTTTCTTTATGGTCCAGCTCTCACTTCCATACATCGCTACTGGAAAAGCCATCACTTTGACTATGTGGACCTTTGTCGGCTAGGTGATGTCTCTGTTTTTGAAGATGCTGTCTAGTTTTCACAAGCACTAGAAGAGGCCAAATCCAAAATTAGGGAGCAATACCTTTATCAGGACCAACTACAATCCAAGTCACATGCAGGTGTTCCACTTGCTGCTGTTTTCACAGTTGCACCTCAGCAACGTTTTCCACATCTCAGTGTGGTCTTTGCCACAGGCGGTGAGATACCGCCACGGATCATCCCTCACTCAGCATGCCTCAATTTACATCTGTGGATTGAGTTTAACTGCAAATCTCCAGGGATTAAGACATGGCGGGTTTTTGGTTTTAGACTTACATGGGTCTCCTCCTCAAGATTTTGATCATCAGGAATGGGTGAAAAGCGATCAAGAACTTGAAAGCTACATCATTTATGAAGTTATGATTGATTTTAATATAGGTATTATGGACCCCCTGTGGATCTGATGATCTTGTTTTATATCTATGGATTCACTAGGCTTTTTCTTTTGGGTGGGGGCAAACATCCTATTTAGAGTATATCTTTGCCCTCTTTCCTGTGAGAAATCTCCTCAAAACTGAGGTAAATTTCTTGCCATTTCCAATTTCCTTTCCACCCACAATATTTACAATTTAAATGTCTTTTTGATGGCTTAATGCAATTCTTGATGATGATCTTTTGATGGTAATCAGGGGCAACTTGATGGCATAGAACAACAAAAACAATGGATTTTTAAAATGATCATTGTCAGTGAATTGCTTTTGTGTCTACTGGCTTTTTCATATTACTTGTTCTAACATGGTGAGCTGCCTTGGGCCCCCTTACCAAGAGAAAGGAGGCCTATGAATGACGTCAAATGAACAAACAAATGAATGAACAAATGAACAAACAAATACTGTATATATATTTTAAAAAAATTTAGGGGGCATTTTGGGTGATGTTTGCAATCCTTAGAAAGACCCAGGGAAAGAAAATTAAGGACCACCAAATTCACCTGTTCCTCCTCCAGAGACTTAAAGTACATTCCTGGGGACTGGACCCAGGACTCTAGACAAGAACATTCTAATCTGGCTCCTGTGCATGTGCAGAGTGTAAGTCTGGCTGGTGTCTGTTAAGTGAGTGCAGAACCCATGTATGCCTTTTCTGCACGTGTGCAGAGACTCCGTAAACACAGTTTGAAGGACAAGGTGTAGATTGGGAACATTTGTTTTCCAGAGCTTAAACAAGTTACTCTCATAGATGACAACTCTCTGCATCCTATGGCCATGCTTATATGGGAAGAGGGGAGGATTCTGGCACACGTAGTTTACAAAGTAACTCTCCAAAGCTTTGTAGCCTGCAACCACAATCCTGCTTCCCTCTGCATGCTGAGTGAACGTGAACAACTCAGAAATGTGAGGTTTTTTTGGGGGGGGCGCTATAGCTAGAGATGGGCACGGACTGGTTTGTGCCAGCTCGTAAAAGTGGCAACACAGAGGCTGCTGCTCCCTTCCCCTATTTCCTGGCTCAATCAGCCCCTCACCAGACCCAGCGTGCTCTCTTCCAGCATCATCTCAACTGATCTTCCAGTCCCGGCAGCAGCTCAGGCTTCTCTGGCCCCGCCCTCTTGGCGGATCCGCCACTCAGACAAAAGGGCGGGGCAGAGGAGTCTGGGCTCTTGCTCCTGACTGGGAGATTAACTGAGGAGGTGGGGAAAGCTAAGCCACTGGGCTTGGTGAGGGGCTGATTGAGGCAGAGGAGGCTGGGGAGGGGAGCTTCAGCTCTTGTGCTGCCACCTTTGCGAACCAGCACGAACTGGGACAAACCGGTTCTTGCCCATTTCTACTCCTGGATCCAGTAACCTTTCCTGAATCCAGTAAAATCTTTTTTTTCCTGGAAAAAAAAGAGGAAGTAACTTTTCCATGCTACATGCAATGGCAGTGTGAAAAGTTCTTCTCCTGGATCCAGTAACCTCTTTTTTCCGGGGGGAAAAAAGAGGAAGTAACTTTTCCAAACTACATGCAATGGCAGTGTGAAAAGTTCTTCTGAAGGCTGCATTGTAACCAAGCTTCGACGACCCATCACGGAGAGCCCCCAAATGCCCCTCATCTCCTCCACCTTTCCTTATCACCCAGAGGGGACTCACCCTCAGGTTCTGATACTGAAGTCGCGCGTTCCGAAGGCGGTTCCGAGCCTCGGCAGCCTTGAGGATCCCGATGAGGTTTTTCTGTTCTCCTTCCTTTTCCTTTTCGTCGACGCCCTTCCTGTCCTTCAACAAAACAGCCGCCAGCATTTCCTTCACTTTCGGATCACTGGGGTCGGCGAACGCCAAGTAGCGAGCTGTCTGCTTGGGCAACATTTTGTTCGCATCGGAGGTGAGGGAAGTCCTCTTGAACCGTGCGATCGATTTGCCCCTCTGGAGAGCTTCCCCTTTCGACATCTTTCTTTGCACCAGGATTGGGTCAGAGGCTAGACAGTGAAAGGTAATGTTGCTTCAAAAAACTATTTTGCATTTATATAATCCTTTTTTGTATATATATATGATTATCCTGTAATTACAGTAATGCTGGAGGAAAGCTTTGCAGATATCCTGGGCTCCTAGAAAAAATGAACAAATGAGTCCTAAATCAAATCAAGCCTGAACTCTCTCTGGAGGCAACAATGTTGAAACTGAGGCTGTCCTCCTTTGGGCACCTCCTGAGAAGGCAGGATCCCCTGGAAAAGACAATCATTCTGGGAAAGGCAGAAGGTAGCAGGAAAAGAGGAAGACCAGATATGAGATGGACTGACTCCCTAAAGGAAGCCATAGGCTTGTGTTTGCAAGAGCTGAGCAGGACAGTTGAGGACATTTTGGAGGTTGCTGATTCCTAGGGTCACAAGTCAACAGTGACTTGACAGCACATAACAACAACAAAGGACAGACCAATTATTGTTGATCTGTGCAAATTGTTCTTCAGGACTACAAGACAGTAGCTGTAGCAATTCTTCAAATGCACAGAGTGGAACCACCTCGCCTAGAACTGCCTGGAAAGATCTGAACGATGAGTGTCCTTGGGCCAAGAGGCAGAAGTGTTAAGTCCCATCGCATTCCCTCCAAGATGCAACTCTCTCCATATGTTACACGTAATATAGCAGCCTTCCCCAAATGGGTGCCCTGCGGTTGGTCTGGATTAGGGTTCCCATCATCCCCAGGCAGCTACCCATTTGGCATCTGGTAAATTCAGAACCTTCAGAAGAAGGCCACAGGGAAGGCAGGGAGAGTTGTATACCTCAGGTGGTTCTGGAAACTTGCCCCATGGTTTTCAATTACAGTGGTGCCTCGCTAGACGATGATAATATGTTCCACTGAAATCGCTGTTTAGCAAAATCATCGTCTAGCGAAAAGCATTTCCCCATTGGAATGCATTGAAACCTGTTTAATGCGTTCCAATGGGGAAGAATCGTCGTTGTCTAGCGAAGATCGGCCATAGAAAAGCCTCTTTGCGAACCGCCGATCAGCTGTTTAAATTGCTGTCTTGCGAAGCTTAGGTCCCGAAAACACCTGTTTTGCGAGCACAGAGGGAGCTGTTAAAATCATTGTCTAACAAAAATCGGTTTGCAAAGCAGGGGCCAAACATTGTCCAGTGAAATTCCCCCATAGGAATCACTGTTTTGCGAATCGCTATAGCGATCGCAAAAAGTCAATGTCTAGCGAAAAAACTGTCATGCGGGGTAACTGTCTAGCGAGGCAGCACTGTAATTGAAAAGGACCCTGTCTAGCTTCATGTATGAACGCAAGCCTTCAAGGACAAATCTGCACCCAGACAGGAGTCCAGGGCCAAATAAGCCAAGCTCTTTCTTTCAATGGGAGCTTCACAGAGAATCAAAGCCCTAAAAACCTACAGTATTGGAGTTTTTACAGCCTCGCATGCTGCCTGCAGTTTGAGTGACTTGGAGGGATCTTTCTGGACTAGGGTAGCTATCAATCACTAATCAATTATTCCCTCCTGCCTCTGAATTCAAAGAGAGCACCACTTCTCTGCTGAGTGTTCTCTTTCCGCTCACTTTTGTCTATGGAAGTCTGTGGTTGAAAGCAGTTACATTTGTCAGTTTGCTGCTCAATCTGTTCAACTGTAAGTAAATAAAATATCTAGCTAGTTATTGAGTCTGTAAGCGTCAATTAATGAGGAAAAGGGTGGACTACTCTGGGAATTTTGAAGTTATTCTGCTTTGTGAATCCCGGCACGCCCGCTGCGCTGGTAGGGAATTTTAACCAAAAATTCAAAACTCTGCAACAAAACCATCCCATAATTTTAGATGAGGTTGGGAAACCTGGGTCCCTCCTGATGTCCAATTGCAGCTCGTTCACCACTGTCTCAGCTGCAATCTCGTGACATGCCGAAGGCTACAGGTTACTGCCAGAACCCTCCAGGTAATGCAGCCACTGGCCTACTTTTCTCCAAAAGTAAAGTTTCCAACTTCAGCTTTAGTTCTGGGTGATAGTTAAGGTTGTTGTTGTTGTTTTTTTTTTTTAAAAAAA